GTATACAGTATAATAAATACAACTTTGTTTGACCATCAAAATCTCAAAAATGGTAGATAACAACCTATTCTCAGACCTATTGAATAGACATATAAAATTTAATCAAAATCGGTCAAGCCGTACAGAGGAGTATGGTAACACAACATTAAAAAAAACAACCCCTATTTGAAAGTGAAAATTTAGTGTTGTATGTATTTTTTAATGTCACATCGTAAAAAAACAAAAATTAAAAATTTTGTCCAAAAAATAATAAAATTGGGGTGGGCCCCCTTGTCACTTAAGGGTATAAAAATAGATAACAGCCTATTCTCAGACCCACTGAATATACATATAAAATTTCATCAAAATCGGTCAAGCCGTTACGGTGAAGTCGGGAGAAGTATGGTAACAAAAAAACAACCCCTATTTGAAAGTGAAAATTTAGTGCTGTATGTATTTTTTATTGCCACATCGTAAAAAAACAAAAATTAAAAATTTTACCCAAAAAATAAAAAAAATTGGGGTAGGCCCCCCTTATCACTTAAGGGTATAAAAAATATATAACAACCTATTTTCAGACCTACTGAATATACATATAAAATTTCATCAAAATCGGTCAAGCCGTTACGGAGAAGTACGTAACAAAAAATTAAAAAAAAAACCTATTTGAAAGTGAAAATTTAGTGTTAAATGTATTTTTAATGCCACATCGTAAAAAAACCAAAATTTAATATTTTATCCAAAAAATAAAAAAAAATTGGGGTGGCCCCCCCTTGTCACTTAAGGGTATAAAAAAATAGATAACAAATAATTTCAGACCTACTGAATATACATATAAAATTTCATCAAAATCGGTCAAGCCGTTACGGAGTAGTACGTAACAAAAAAATTAAAAAAAACCTATTTGAAAGTGAAAATTTAGTGTTAAATGTATTTTTTAATGCCACATCGTAAAAAACTAAAATTAAATATTTTGTCCAAAAAATAAAAAAAATTGGGGTGGGCCCCCTCTTGCCACTTAAGGGTATAAAAAAATAGATAACAACCTATTTTCAGACCTACTGAATATACATTTTAAATTTCATCAAAATCGGTCAAGCCGTTCCGGATATTCGGGAGAAGTATGGTAACAAAAAATTAAAAAAAAAACAACCCCTATTTGAATGTGAAAATTTAGTGTTAAATGTATTTTTTAATGCCACATCGTAAAAAAACTAAAATTAAATATTTTGTCCAAAAAATAAAAAAAATTGGGTGGGCCCCCTTGTCACTAAGGGTATAAAAAATAGATAACAACCTATTTTCAGACCTACTGAATATACATATAAAATTTCATCAAAATCGGTTAAGCCGTTACGGGAGAAGTACGTAACAAAAAATTTAAAAAACCCTATTTGAAAGTGAAAATTTAGTGTTAAATGTATTTTTAATGCCACATCGTAAAAAAAACAAAAAATTAAATATTTTATCCAAAATAAAAAAATTGGGGTGGGCCCCCTTGTCACTTAAGGGTATAAAAAATAGATAACAAATAATTTCAGACCTACTGAATATACATATAAAATTTCATCAAAATCGGTCAAGCCGTTACAGGTAGTACGTAACAAAAAATTAAAAAAAACCTATTTGAAAGTGAAAATTTAGTGTTAAATGTATTTTTAAAGCCACATCGTAAAAACTAAAATTAAATATTTTGTCCAAAAATAAAAAAAAAATTGGGGTGGGCCCCCTTGCCACTTAAGGGTATAAAAATAGATAACAACCTATTTTCAGACCTACTGAATATACATATAAAATTTCATCAAAATCGGTCAAGCCGTTACGGAGAAGTACGTAACAAAAATTTAAAAACCTATTTGAAAGTGAAAATTTAGTGTTGTATGTATTTTTTAATGCCACATCGTAAAAAAACAAAAATTAAAAATTTTGTCCAAAAAAATTTAAAAAAATGGGGTGGGCCCCCCTTGTCATTTAGGGTATAAAAAATAGATAACAACCTATTCTCAGACCTACTGAATATACATATAAAATTTCATCAAAATCGGTTAAGCCGTTATGGAGGACTACGGTATCTAAAACTGTGACAAGACAATTTTTTATATGTATTAGATTTCAGAAATCTGCCTAAACCTTAGCCCGATCCTGTCGTGTTAAGCCACACCCATAATTCCAAACGCACGTGCTTTCAGCGAAAAAATATAATATTTAAATTCCTTAGATTAGGGCTTGCAGAGCTTCAGCATTTGCCATAAAATAGCGAGCAATTTGTTACAAAACCATATAAATTATATATCACTGTAATCACAAAACTTCAATCTATATCTCTCCTGTAACAGAATTTTAAATTATATTTTTATTTTCCAGAAAATTTAGTCCAAACATAAGGTTTATTTTGTTGATGTATGACCATCAAAATCTTAAAAATGAACAAGTTATCTAAAAATGTACCACACGACGGATTTAGTATAATCCTTTATCTTTAATTTTCTTCTTCGTTTGTGTAAAAATACCTAGCCAGTTTGACATAAAACGTTAAATGCCCAACGCTTATTTTGCTACTTTTTCGGACTAGTGAAATGGACTCTTAAGAACGTTTTTACACAATTTTATTATTCCGCAAAATATAAAAGTTATGGGCAATTTTCCAAATGGCAAAAAAATCAAAAAGACCCCGTATCTCAGTTGGCAGTGAAAATATCAACAGGCGGTTTACGACATTAAATGTGTCTCAGAAATCGAGCCCATGACATCTATGTCGGTTTTGCTCTATCTAGTCAGGAAATAGGTATTCTCTGTTAAAACAGACCAATTTCGACCACCCTGTACATCGTAATATACAGGGTGTCCCAATTTTCAGTGGACATAGAGCTACTACGCATTTTTTGAATCAAAATAAGTTCATTGGACACAATTTACCTCTATACAAAGTGCTTCGTTTATCCGCCAGAAGGCTTCAAACTTTAAAAAAATAAACACACAACAATTTTTCAGATATTTTAAGAACCGTTATTCCGATTTGAATGAAATTTTGGGTGTCTATGTTTTGCTAAGTGTTTTAACATTTAACTTTCACAAAAATCAAGAAACTGTACGAAAAGGATGAAAAAACTACCTCCACCCCTACATAAATTTTAGTGTAAATATTTTCCAACTCCACCAACGACATTTTCTTTTCGTCCTTCTAGTATTTATTACATTTTACAACGCCACATCGCATATATAGTTTCTGAGAATTTATTTATCCACAGCAAACCCATTTTTACAACAAAATTTATAGGGAGTTCCAATATTCCGTGGACATAGAACAACTACATATTTTTTGAATCAAATAACGTTAATTGCACATAATTTGCCTTTATACAAAAGTATTTCGTTTGTCCGTTAGAGTGCATCAATCAAAAATAAACATGAACGTTAATTTAAAATTTATTAATTCTTTTAAGTTTTTTATGAAGCTTATTGTCAAATATAATTTGTGATACTAACATAAAATTCCATATCTTCACCAACTAGATTATTAGAGCATAATAGATTTTATGCGCCTCCATAGCTTCAGAAGTCAGCTTCGGAAAAATATTTTTTTTCCTCAAAAAGTATGTGCGGTGGCGTTTTTTTATTAGAGACAAAAAATGTAGTAAATATTAGAAGCACCATTTTACGAAAAAAAATCGGTCGTTGGTTGAGTTGGAAAATATTTCTACTAAAATTTATATAAGGGTGGGGATAGTTTTCACTCTTCCCGTACTTTTTCTTGATTTTTGTGAAAGTCAAATGTTAAAGCACTTACCAAAACATCGACACCCAAAATCTCATTCAAATCGGAATAACGGTTCTCCAAATATCTGAAAAAATGTTTTTATTTTTTTAAAGTTTGATGCCCTCTAACGGACAAACGAAGCACTTTTGTATAGAGATATATTGTATCCAATTAACTTATTTTGATCCCAAAAATATGTAGTAGTTCTATGTCCACGGAATATTGGGACACCCTGTATACCGGGTGCGTCGCAAAAGTGACTCATTCCTATAATTTTTTATTTTTTCAGATAAAAAATCGAGATTTGGTATATTAATATATGACATAAATTAGGATTGATTGACGTATTCAATTGTTTTCTGTCACTTCCTGTTTCACCGGAAATGACTACAACTTTTGATTTTTAAATGGCACTCTCGGTGTTTTGTCGCCTTAAGGTAAGTTTATATGCATCCGTAATGCGTCGTCCGTCGTTCCGTTAGTCCAATCATATTCAAGTATGAGCTGTCATTTTTGAAATAAACCAACAAAATTACATAAAATCAACGACTAATTACGACGCATTACGGATACATGTACACCCACACCTATTTGAAAGAAAATGATACCCTGAATAGAATGACATATCATATGTCAACGTTTGACATTTTCGAATATGGTTTATTTGAAATTGCAACATGCGATTCATAACGACAATTTGACTCGAAATACCAAGTGTGTGGTACCAAATTATTCGTAAAAAAAATGTTTTTTTCCAAATATGCTAATGAGCCACCCTCGTTCCATTTGAAAAAAATGAGATATGATTAAAAATACGATTTAGGCATATTTTAACCGGCCAGAACAAGACACGAATAACATTAGACGATCGAATTTATTTTTCCAAGGCTCCTTGATTAAAAATTAGTGTTTTTAACACAGCCATGGCACTCTATATTGGAGTTTAAAATTCAATTTTGTTTTAAGCAAAAATGTCAAAAGTTGGCATATGATATGTCATTCTATTCAGAATGTCAGTTTCTATCGAATAAAGTAAAAAAATATTGAGGGTGCCGTTTAAAAATCAAAAGTTGTAGTAATTTCCGGTGAAACCGGAAGTGGCCGTAAAGAATTATTGAATATGTCAATCAATCCTAATTTATGTCATATACTAACATACAAAATCTCGTTTTTTTATCTGATAAAATAAAAAAAAATTATAGGGGTGAGCCACTTTTGAGACGCACCCAGTATATAAACCAAACCAAATTTTGCTCCAAGTTACCTGGTTTTGGTTTAGGTTTCTTCTCCTTTTCGGTCTTTTTCTTTTTCTTCTTTTTAGGACTAGTAGTAGTTATAGGGTTGCTTTGTAAATGGGCAGTATTGATAGTCGTCAAATTGGTAAGCGTGCTGACATTGTTTGTACTATTCCCTCCATTTCCGATATTCAGATGATTAACATTGATCGCACCTTAAAATACAACGTTTAACTTGATTACAACTTTATAAATAAAATAAATATCAAACCGTTGTTCAGCAAATTCAAACTGGATTCACCGTTGCCTGGCAACGCGATCGGTTGACTGATTGTAGGGTCTTTCTTTAAGCTCTCGGCAGAGTACTTCAAAAATTCGTGCAAGCTAAGAGGAAGAGTAGAGGTCGGAAGTTGTGACAGATAATCCGCCACGGTGGTAGTGGATGCGGTTAGACTCTGCCAGGCATTGGACAGCACAGTTGTTGAACTAGGCGCGTGGTGGTGGTTATTGTTTTGGATAATCTGGTGGTGAGGTTTCAAACCTACATCTGGCTCTTTTTTCTAAATTCATATTAAAAACATTTCGGTGAATCAGAAATAATGCTACCAAGGTCTGGCGAGCTTGGTCTTGGTTTAGCATTTTGTGAAGACTAGCGTTTGATCTGCAAGACTATGGCCAAGACCGACCAGTGCAAAAGTTCCACAACACCAAGACAAAGCATGCAACAGTCTTGTGCTCTTGCATTTTTTTACGTTTATACAGGGTGTCCCAATATTCCGTGGACATAAAACTACTACGTATTTTTGGAATGAAAATAAGTTCATTGAACACCATTTACCCCTATATACAAAAGTGTTTCATTTTTCAAAGGGCATCAAACTTAAACAATAAACACCTTTTTTCAGATATTTTAAGAGCCGTTATTCCGATTTGAATGAGATTCTGGGTGTCTATGTTTTGCTAAGTATTTTAATATAAGACTTTAACAAAAATGAAGAAAAAATACGGGTGAGAAAACTATCCCCACCCCTACTTAAACTTTAGTATAAATATTTTCGAACTCAACCGACAACCGATTTTTTTTGTATTTACTACCTTCTAGTATTTACTACATTTTTTTTCTTTTGTAAAAAACGCCACAGCTAATACTTTTTGAGGAAAAAAAATATTTTTCCGGAGCAGACTTTCAAAAAATATTTTTGTCACATCATGCTATTCGGGCTAAAATCTATTAGGCCCTAATAGTCTAGTTGGCAAAAATATGGAATTTTATATTAATATTACTAATTGTACTTAACAATAAGCTTCATAAAAAGCTTAAAAATATTAATAAATTTTAAATTCATTAACGCTCGGGTTTATTTTTGATCGATGCCCTCTAACGGGCAAACGAAGCACTTCTATATGAAGGTAAATTATGTGCAATTAACTTATTTTGATGCAAAAAATACGTAGTTGTTTTATGCCCCCGGAATATTGGAACTCCTTGTATATTTTACGAAAATAACATCTGTCGTCGGTTGGAGAATGCAGTTGGAAAATATTTATACTAAAATTTATGTAGGGGTGGGGGTAGACTTCACCCTTTTCGTACTTTTTTTTTGATGTTTGTGAAAGTTAAATGTTAAAGCACTTAACAAAACATAGACGCCTAAAATCTCATTCAAATCGGAATAACGGTTCTTAAAATATCTGAAAAAATGTGTTTATTTTTTTTAAGTTTGCCTCCTAGCGGACAAACGAAGCACTTTTGTATATAGGTAAATTTTGTCCAATGAACTTATTTTGATTTTGAAAAATACGTAGTAATTCTATGTCCACGTAATATTGGACCACCCTGTATCATATGATATAAGAAGTTACTTATTTGTTTAAAATATAGGAACAGTATGTGTTTGATGTCTGAATTATTAAAAAGAACTAAAAAAGGTATTATTTTTTTGAACCATACACTAGCAGCTTATTTTTTTAAAAAATATTTTAATAACAACATTGTCAGCAGTGTGTCTGGCAATAGAATAGTCTCTTCTATCTATATATAGACATGCAATACAGTCAGATAATTATACTATAGATATTATTTCTTTGAGAGGTCATGTCTAAATAATACAATTAATTATATTGACATAACTTATTGAACGTTGGGATATGCATAAAACAATGCAATATATTGTACGACCACACATGATACAATTACAATATCTGATTGCATTTAAAATTAAGTGATTATTTTTTACTTACTTTATTAAGATCGCTATTATTGACATTGAGTTTCTCCGGATTTCTATTCTGAAACAGTTCAAAACCTTGTTGTTCAAATCCCTGCCTTCGAACAGAATTCTGTTGAGTATAAATATTCTGGGTATTGAGGTAGTTTCCATTGCTCTTGGTGGAGTTTGGGATCACTTGTTGAGCTGGATGGTGATGCTGTGTAAAAGTCGGAATGCCGTTGGCGGTATATCTACAAAAATGTCAATATATGTTATCCATATACGGTGTTTTTCAAACCACATCTATTAACAGTTATTTAGGAGCTAATTTAGATACAAATTTGAAAATTTTAAGTCAATGATATTTCGAATTTTGAGGTGTACTATTAGTACGAGAGCTATCAACGTCGGAAAAACAAGTATTTTAAGACGTCTGGCTCTTTGATATATCTTTTACTAAGATGATGATGATGATCTCTAGAACAGCATGCGGCCCGTCAGGCTGCCGGTAAACCTTGCGTTCCCTACTGCGCATTGAAAGAAGATCCTATATTTTTATTAGTCCTTTAAATTCTAATATTGAATATAAATCTAACAGGTCTCCATAGCGCAGTGCGTAGAGTTTCCGACCACGAACCGATGATTCAGAGTTCGAATCCGGGTCAGGGCAAAAACTTTTTTATTTTATTTTCGTTTATATTTTGATAGTAAAGTATTAAATATTTGTTTGTTTTTTTAAATTACCAGAATTATGTGGTCGGAAACTCTACGCACTGCGCTATGGAGACATGTTCGATTCATATTCTATACTAGAATTTATAGGACTAAATTAATAAAAATATAGGATCGTCTTCCGATACGCAGTAGTGAACGCAACGGGTATCGGCAGCCAGACGGGCCGCATGCTGTTCCAGAGAGCATAGTAAAAAATATATAAAAGAGCCAGACGTCTTATAATACTTTCTCGAAAACGTTGCTAGCTCTTAGACTATATATTTTGGTATTGAAAGTACTACTGGGATCATTTTGTTGTATTTTAGTAGAGAGTGGTTCGCATAATAAACAAGATTAATTTGTGTGTATTCTTTTAATGTTTGGCAAATGTATAATTTTGTTGAATGATTAATAATTTGTGTATATTCTAATTGTTTGTCACTTAAATAATAATTTATGTATATTAATTGTTTGGCAATCCTTATAGTATAGCAATGTATAGATGGATGTATAGATCTTTGTTACTCGAACCCTAGAAATCAGTTTGATCAATTGAAAAATGAAACTGATAATGTTGCAACTGCGTGAAACTTTACAGCACGAACTAGTAGTAAAAGAATAAAACGATCAAAACTATATTTTGATGAAAAAAAAAATCAAAATGTTCTCGAAACAAAGATTTTTTCGATTTAATGTATTTTACAAAAATTTTGATATTATATTAAGTCAAATTAACAGGAGATTTTCCGGTCTATAGGAAGCGGAAAGTAACTTTTAAACAGGGTGGGTCAAATTCGACGCTTTTAAATGGAAACACCCTTTTCTATAGGAGTTACGGGGTGTTTTTCAAAAATGTGCATTTTTAACAAATCGCTGTAACTTTTTTGCTATGGAAAATTTTGTATTTCTATGAAAACATTTCCAAAGCACCTTTTTACATAGAATTTAACGATTTAAGAGTTATCAACAGAAAAATTAATTTTTTATTTGGGACACCCGCTATAGTTTTAATTAACTGAAAAGAATTTAAAATTACCTTTCCAAAAATATAGCACACTTGATATTTTGTTATAATTCCCTTCGAAATACAGAATTTTTAAAAGTTCGCCACTTTTAACTAGTAGGCTTTTGACCCCTTATTGATGATATGCCCTTAATGGAACTCGAAAACATATTTTTCCAGCAACAAGCGGCACCGCCTCAGAACGCTGAAGTTATCAGCAAATTTTTGCAGCCAATTTCAAGAATAATTGAATAGCTAACCAAGATCCCAGCCGTTGGCCGTCGAGGCCGCCTGACTTAGTGCCCATGGATCTAATCCTATGGATATATTTGCGGAAGAATAAAGGTTACTTATTCTTCCGTATAATCTAGACAAGAATTAAAAATACTTGGTAGTTATGAGAGGGTATCTTTCACCCCTACTGAGTTAATGAATTCCGCGAGAAATGTTCAAAAACTGCCCCGTCTGTCCATAACAGAAGACGGTCGATATGTCGAACACCTGTAGCAAAATCTCATGTCTTAGTTTGCTATTTATTTTTATTGTTATTAGATATAGTTTAAATGTGTTGATGTTGGTTAAATATATTTTAAATTGTTATAAAATTCTGCATCTCTCATAGCAAATATTATTTTCGTTTTAATTGATGCTCACAGCTAGAATTTTTTTGCATTACAGCCGGTGCCGTTCAAAGCCTACTTATTTAAAGCGGGCGAATTTTTATATACTCTATTTCTCAAAGAGGAATCGAGCAAAATATCAAGTATGTTATATTTTTGGAAAGGTAATTTTGAATTCTTTTCAATAAATTAAAAATATACAGGGTGTGCCATATAAAAAATCAAATTTTCTGTTGATAATTCTTAAATTATTGATTAAAAAAAATATACTTAAACCATTAAATTCTACGTAAAAAGGTGCTTTGGAAATTTTTTCATAAAAATACAAAATTTTCCATAGCAAAAAAGTTACAGCGATTTATTAAAAATGCACATTTTTGAAAAACACCCCGTAACTCCGAAACGGTAACAGATATCGATATGCGGTTTTCACCATCATGTTTTTGACAAAAATTGAACTCCAGACACCGATATTAGTTTTTGTCTATCTCCTATAGAAAAGGGTGTTTCCATTTAAAAGCGTCGAATTTCGCCCACCCTGTACTTTCCAACTATTCATGTCATTTTTACCTATATGTTTTATGTGAGAAATATAACTATTGCGTTTCTGTCAGAAAAAATATATATTATTATAATATAAAGAAGTGTTCTGTTTTTATTAAAAAATTAGAACAAAATTCTTATTTGTTTACGGCGCAAGAGGCCCAAAAATATTTGAACACGGGACCGCGACTTCCTCGCTACGCTACTGGTATTGACTATTTCCATTCTAAATATCTTGAGAATGTTGCTTGTAGCGATTTATACCAAGATATATTTTTTACACGGAAATGTATATTTTTTCACTCAGTAGTTTTATACAGGTACGGACAAAAAGTTATTACTCTTCAAACCATTTAAAAAATATGTGGTGGTGCCCTCTACTAGTAAAGTCATATTGACATCAAAATCAAATTTCTCATGTCAAATAACTTCCAGAAACCAATTTTTATCCAAATATTGACATTACTTCAGAAATTATTTGGAAAAAATCGAAACAAAAATGAAACTTCTACCTGTATCTCCTAAAGTATGCTTTTTAGAACATACGAACTTTTTTACTTATTTTTATCTGCAGAATATGCTGCTAAAGTTGGCGGAATACAGTTCGGACCACCCTGTAGAATCCAAAAAGGGTCAAAGTTCTTGAAAAACAAAATTATTTAAAATAAACCAAATTGGTAGCAATTAAACTTGAAGTGCGTGGAAATTTAAAAATTAAATATATCCTAGAGATATTATTAACCTGAAAGTAAGATTTGGATCTAAATTATAGCTTAAAAAACCTTTACTGGACTGATTGTGTGAAATCTTCTGACGCAGTATGGATAACTGACCTGTTGTTGGTAAGTAAGTCCTCTTGGGGATTTGAAAAAGCCGTCGAAGGAACATCTTGAGACAGCTTGGCAGCGAATTGATGAATACCCGGTATGGATGAGGAAAAGTGACTTCCGAAAGGAGAAAAATTCATCCTTTTTGGTTATATATTGTCTAGAAAATTAAAATAGCACCTCAATTACATATAGATATAATAAAACTCTTTCGTTAAATAATTCGAATAAATTAATTTACAGATATTTATTTTCTAAAATATATAATTAAATTATAAAATACCTTTACTAACAGATTTCACATAAACCGGTTCAAAATAGGGTGTACTTACCATTATATACTGTAATATTTCAGCCTTAGTGGCATATATCAAAAATATAATTCTCGTGGGTCAGCCATTTAACGCAATTCTTGATGGAGTGTCGCCCTAGTGCGCAAGGGACCGATGGCAAAGGGTTGCAGTAGGGGTAAAAAATAATCCATAATTTGCGCCCGTTCAAATTTTCCCGCCACAAATGGATATGTAGGGTATTTCATTCCCTATTTTATTTTATTTTAAAATAATAAGTATAAACTTATAAAATGAAAAATTAGTAACTATAAAATAATTTATAGGTATTACCAATACCGTATGATCGAATAAAAACGGCGTCAGCGATGGCTATGAAATGAAGATCGCTGTCATTTTATATGTAAAATTATATGGGAAATGTCAGCGATTGTCATTTCCTAGCCAACTGGACGCCGTTTTTTTTCAATCATCAATAACACCATGCGTCGTCTTATGGAGTTTGCTGGTGGTCGTATTATGATGTGCAACAAAAGTTATTTTAATTTCTCCATTCTCCGCCGGTGCTGCCACCATCGGAGAATATCGTAAACAACCGAAATACACAAATACACGGGTTTAAATAGCGAGTATACGAAAAATTTATTACATTACTCTAAAAGTGTTAGGTAGTTTATTTTCTAAACACCCTGTATGATTTAAGATTACGATAGCTTTCTAAAATATAAAATACCTAGCGTGTACCCGCGATTTCATTCGCGCGAATTAATCATTTGTAATGGTGATGATAAAGCAAAGCAAGAATTTCCATTAACGTACAAACTGGATAAAATTTTCTCACATTTATGTCAGCATGAGAAAAACAATATGGCGATATTATTATATAACTTGGTAATATTTGAGCGGTAGTTTCATCTCGTTGGAATTTGACTTTCGAAAAATCCGTTTCCCAAAAATAAGCTTTTTACGTCAAGCAGTTTAAGCAGAATCGTGGTTAATCAATTACCCAACTTTTGGAACACACTGTATGATTTTTTTTAAAATTTCAAAATATGTAAAAAAAAACAAAATAAATTATGCGTGTCCAAGCGTTTTCCCGGAAGACTAACCCTTTTATAAATAACAAATATTGTAATAACTGAGGGGCGTTTTCACCCTCTTGGAATTTGAGATTTGAGAAACCTCTCCTTATCGAACCTCTACACCCCACAGTCAATCCGTTTACCAAAAATCAGCTTTAAACGTCAAGCAGTTTAGGCAGAATCGTGATTACTCAATGGTCATATTTTATGAAACACCCTGTATAAATTTTTAAAAAATCTTAAAATATGTAAAACAACAAAATAAAATATACGAGTTTAAGAGTTTTTCCGAAAAACTCACCGGTTTTTAAATAATATTCTAATATTTGAGGGGTGGTTTCACCCCCTTAGAATTCGAGTTTCGAAAAATCCCTTTTCAATCCGTTTTCCAATAATGCGCTTTTTACGTCAAGCGCTTTAAGCAGGATCGTGGTTAATCAATGACCAGATTTTTCGAAACACCCTGTATACATTTTTAAAAAATCTTAAAATATGTAAAAAGTACAAAATAAAATATACGTGTTTAAGCGTTTTTTCGGAAACTTAACCGTTTTTAAAATAAAAAATATTGTAATATTTGAGGGGCGGTTTCACTCCCTTGGAACTGGAATTTCGAAAAATCCCTTCTTATCGAACCTCTACACCCTAGAATCAACCTGTATGCCAAAATTGAGCTTCTTAAGTTGAGTGGTTTGAGCAGGATCGTGATAATCAGTATGTTTTTCTTTCTTTTTTTAAATGGAACACCCTGTATATTATTATTTTTTATTAGATAGGTAACTTTGATAAAAAAATTACTGTTGAAAATGCCATATATGAAATATAAAACCGCGAATATTTGCGAAACCGTTAACAATTTTAAAATACTCTAAATATAAAAAATGTTTATTTTTTAATTCTCCATGTAACAAAAAAATAACATACAGGGTGTTAAAAAAACGACGAAAAATTATTTTATATTTTAGAAAATTTGGCGTAGAATTTTGGACATCCTGTATGATTTACGATTACCATATTTATAGCAAAGTAAGTCCAAACTATCTAAAGTAAATACCTAATATAGTTTTGATTTCAGGATAGTTCTTGTATTTTTTTTAATAATTTTTTAAGAAAGACTGAAAAATATAATATTTCTAATTTATTAATTAATATCTCTGAAACAATCGAAAAATATTTACTCATATCTTAGGATTATGTGAAGTGATATGAAAGAAAGCCAAAAATGCAATAATATACAGGGTGTTTCATTTAAAAAAGTCATCCCGATCCACTCACACTTTTTTGAGCCACTCTATAGTAGTTAAAATATTTTCCTGAAATACATTCTAGTACATACTTTAGGTTTGCACTTAAACAAAATTCCCAAGTTTTTTATTCTAGGAGCTACAGATGTCCGACGCACTATTGCCGGACCCCGTAGCGTTTTGTCACCCTGGATCACCCTGTATACAAACAATTTCGTCTACTTTTAATGACGTCCGGTGTAGGTACGTATTTTCAATGAACTTCAATGTTATAAATCTTATCTTTCGTTCATTCAGGCATTGGTAATGGCAAAGTAATGGTACCTATTTACACATTTTTTTTTCTTTATTTATACAGAGCGTTTAAAGAGAGAACGAATGATTGTATTTTTAAAATGAACTGTCAGATAACATTATTCTGTAATCGTTTTATTTCGGTACTGTCATATATTTTGCATTACTGTTGGGCCCCATTCTATGGCTGGCACCAAGTTGGCGCATTGCGCACTCGTTCTCCGCGTCCCCGCTTGGTACTGCCGGTACTGCCTCTTGATGTGTCTTGATTTAGTACTTTCTCAGGCTATTTATTTATTAGTCGATACTACAGCCGCTGAGTGACACGTGGTCGGGTTTTCACTGTTTACATATTTTTTATATTATCCTTAAATAACATTACTTTAGATTCAATAACAATAAAAATGAGCGCGGAACACCAGAAATTGAAGGCTTTTGCTGTTGAACTGTTTCAAATCAAAGCAGTTAAATTTGGAGAATTTAAAACTAAAGTAGGACTTATGACTCCAGTTTATTTCGATTTACGTGTTATTGTTAGTTACCCCGAAATAATGGTAAGCTTATAAATTAATATATTATTAAATTTAAATTAGCATCATTACTTTGCATGCGACCTACTATTTTATTGTATAGAAATTATGATAAAGAAAGCTCCATTACGTTGTATTATATACTTAAGTATTTATATAAGACTTTAGATTATAGTATATTAACTCAGGAAGCCTTTTTAGTCGCTAAATATACAGGGTGTCAAAAAAATAGTGTATCTAATTTCGGTGGGTGTTCTAAAGATAAAAATGAAACAAAAAGTTTCTATAAACATATGCCCTAAAATGCTTCCTGAAGAAGTTACAGCCTTCGAAATGTTAAATAAAAAATATATTTTCTTTATTTTTAATAACATTGCTAAACCGTTTTTTTCTGAAATTTGGTAGGTAGTCTTACACATATTTTAGTGCCAAAGCGAATGGCGATAATGCAAAATTCGCTAACAGCCCTCAAGGGGTACTTTCCATTAGGGTAGAGAGTACTACTAGTGGTACTTTTATCCTTATAGATACAGTAATATCAACAAATGAGAATTAAAGCTAGGACTTTTTATGGGAAAAAGGTGCTGTTCGTTTAGTTTAGGGTGAACGGTTTTCAAGATATTTGCGATGCATCGATTTTAGTATTAGAGTTATCAGGAGATTCATTTATTTAAAATTTCTTTACATTTTATCATTTCTCTAATAGGCTAATACTAAACTCGATGCATCGTAACCTTTAAACGCAAATATCTTGAAAACCGTCCACCATTTCGAACTAAACGAAGACCACCTTTTTTACGTAAAAAAGTTCGAGCTTTTTATGTCATTTATTGAAATTACTGTATCTATATAAGGATAAAAGAAGTACCATCAGTAGTACTATCTACCCTTGGCTTTGGAATTAAAATGTGTACAAGAGTACTAAATTTCAGAAAAAAAAACGGTTTAGCAATGTTTCTTAAAAATAAATATAAAATATATTATTTTTATTTAACATTTCGAGGGCAAAATAAAACACTAAATCATCACAATACACCAAAACACTTTTACTTTTACACTGGACGCGCGTTTCGCTAACCTTAATGTTAGCATCATTAACAGGTGATTAAAATATTTGCATGATTGCAACATTTGATGATGCTAACATGGTTAGCGAAACGCGCGTCCAGTGTAAAAGTAAAAATGTTTTGGTGCATTGTGGTGATTAATTGTTTTATTTTGCTGTGTAACACCAAAGGTTCGAACCCCCAACTGTAATGTTGAGTGCTGTTTTTTCTTTGGGAAGCATTTTAGGGCATATGTTCGTAGGAACTTCTTGTATTATTTTTGTTGTTATTGATTCACTATTTCTTTGACACCCTGTATAAAAATTATAAGATATTTATGCTGCTTTTATATCTATTTTAGAAAACTTTGTCGCATCTTCTTGTGGATATATTGAAAGATATTAAAAATATCGATATTCTCTGTGGAGTTCCATACACTGCTTTGCCGATTGCGACTGCTGTATCTTTAGAAACAGGACTTCCAATGGTAATGAGACGAAAAGAAGCTAAAGATTATGGGACAAAGAAGCTAATCGAAGGAGTATTCAAAGAAGGAGATAAATGTCTTATAGTCGAAGATGTTGTCACTTCTGGAAGCAGTATATTAGAAACAGTTAGAGATCTTCTAAATGAAGGTAACTAAAAGTATATTTTCTCTATTCCATAATATACAAAATTTTCTATTGCAGGAATTAAATGCAAAGATGCGGTTGTGCTCTTAAACAGAGAACAGGGTGGTGCAAAAATCCTAGAAAAAAATGGAATTAGAATGCACGCTGTATTGTCTTTAACAGAAATCATTCAATATTTAGTAGAAGCCAAGTGTATCGATTCAGAAATGCAACAAAAAGTTCAAAAGTATTTAGCTGAAACTCAAGTTACAGATGCAGTTCTGAATAAAGCACCTCCTGCTAGTAAGTATACTATACTAGTTGATCTACACATCATTAGTATATATCTATTAATTTTATTTTTGTAGATAGATTAAAACTGTCATTCATAGAAAGATCAAAACTAGCAAAAAATCCGGTAGCAGCTAAGTTATTTGAAATTATGTCTGCAAAACAAACAACTTTATGTCTGGCAGCTGATCTTACAGATGCAACGAAAATTTTAAATCTTGCTGAACAAGTAGGTCCATATATATGTGCCTTAAAAACACATATTGATATTATAGAAGATTTTCATAGCAATTTTATCGAACCCCTGAAAGATATTGCTAAAAGACATAATTTTGTATTGTTCGAAGATAGAAAGTTTGCTGATATTGGAAAAACAGTAGAATTCCAATACAGTAAAGGGATATACCAAATTTCTTCATGGGCTAGCCTTGTAACTGTACATTCCTTAACTGGCAAGGGTGTATTAGATGCCATAAAAGGTAAGCAAGCACTATTAAATACAATATGATCGAAAAAAAAACGGCGTCGAAGACGGCTAGGGAAGGGCAATCGATGAAAATTTTGGCGAGGTCAAGCCCTAGACGTCATTTACTTTTTATTTTATTTTATACTATTACCACACTATTACGCTGTACTCAGTTCGGGCCTCTCTGAGGGATCGGGTAAAGCGCCGGGTGTGTGGCCGAAGGAAATATACAGGGTGGTCCGAACTGTATTCCGGAAACTTCGGCAGCATATTCGGCAGATAAAAATAAGTAAAAAAGTTCGTATAAATCTAGGTCCTAAAATGCTTAGTTTTTGAGATACAGGGTGTAGAAGTTTCATTTTATTTCGAATTTTTCCAAATATTTTTTGACATGAAAAATTTGATTTTGATGTCATATGGCTCCTACTTGTAGAGGGCGCCACCTACATATTTTTTAACTGGTTTGAAGAGTAATAACTTTTCGTCCGTACCTGTATAAAATTAGTGAGTAAAAAAATATAAATTTATAACATTTTCAACGTAAAAAAGATCTCTTGGTAAAAATCGCTACCAAGGAATGGTTCTTGAGATATTTGGAATCGAAATTATCAAGACCTATCATCATTGACATAAATTAAACATGTTGACTAACAGTAATATTAAACTGAAATCATAAATTTGAAATGTTTTTGTGCCAAAAGTTCAACAGAAACTGTTTTATCATCATTTTTTCGTAGAAAAACATATTATTAATTTAAAAATAAAAATTTTCCAAATTGATTATTTCAGTCAAATAACACTATCTACTCAACGTGTTTATTTTTTTGTCAATAATGACATGCATTGACTATTTCCATTCTAAATATCTTGAGAACGGTTGCTCGTAGCGATTTTTAACAAGAGACATTTTTTACGTAGAAAGGCACGGAAATATACATTTTTTCACCCAGTAGTTTTATACAGGTACGGACGAAAAGTTATTACTTTTCAAAACAGTTTAAACACATGTAGGTGGCGCCCCCTACAAATAGGAGTTATATTGACATCAAAATTAAATTTTTCATGTAAAAAAAAAACAGATACCAATTTTCATGCAAATATTGACGTTATTTCAGAAATTATCTGGAAAAAAATCGAAATAAGAATGAAACTTCTACACCCTGTATCTCCGAAACTAAGCATTTTAGGACATACATTTATACGAACTTTTTACTTATTTTTATCTGCAGAATATGCTGCCGAAGTTTCCGGACTACAATTCGGACCACCCTGTATATTATACTAATTGAAGCCTGGCGCATCCGCCACATCAGGAAAAAAAAATACTTTTTATTTTTTTTCAATTAAGTGAAAAACAAAAAATCCGGATCTTTTAGTAAAAAAAACAACTTTCTAGAGCAAGTCGTTACTTCAGTAGAGACGACACAGATAAACATTAGCATTTTAAGTATATAGAAATAGATATCAATATATCAGAAATCTGCCTAAGGCTTAGCCCGATTTTGTCGTGTTAAGCCACACAAAATTAAGGTTTGCAGAGCTTCAGCATTTGCTATAAAATAGCGAGCAATTTGTTACAAAACCGTATCAATTATATTAGTGTAATAATATGTATCAGTTTAATCACAAAACTTCAATCTATTTCCGTATTATGTCTTTATTTTCTAGAAAATTTAGTCCAAACATAAGGAATATTTTGTTGATGTTTGGCCATCAAAATCATAAAAATAAAGAAGTTGTCTAAAAATGTGCTACAATACGGATATAGTTCAATAAGTTTAATTTCCTTCTTCATTTGTGTAAAAATACCTAGCCAGTTTTACGTAAAACGTTAAATGCCGAACGCTTATTTTGCTACTTTTTCGGACTAGTGAAATGGACTTTTAAAAAGGTTAATTTATTTTTATATTGAGTAAAAATGATTTTTAAATGGTATATAGTTTAAAATTCAAGAAAGAATAATTTTTGGAAATAGATTTGTGTGTCTGGAAACGTTCTATCCTTTTTAAATCTTTCTATAATGAGTGTTAGTGTAGTTAATTAAAATACTATTTTTTAATTGTGTTCTAGGTGCTACTGGAAATCCAGAGAGAGGCGTATTTTTATTAGCTGAAACTAGTGCTGCAGGAAGTTTGATAACAGACAGTTATACCAAGTCTACATTAAAACTGGCATCTGAATATCCTGACTTAATATCAGGAATTGTTTGTCAAAATCCACTATTCCTAGATAATCCAGGATTGATCCAACTTACCCCAGGCGTAAAAATAGAGTCAAAAGTGGACAATTTGGGACAGCAATACAACACGCCTGATTTAGTTGTCGCTGAAAAAGGAGCCGATGTTGCCGTCGTTGGCAGGGGAATTACTGAAGCATGTGATCCTGTTGCTGCCGCACAATTGTATAGAGAAATGTTATGGAAAGCTTACTCTAAAAGAATAGCAGTTTAAAAAAAGCTAAATTTTTATCTAAGAACAATATTAATTATGTTTTATACAACCTCATTGCTGTGATAAATAAGACCACTTTAATAAAACACTGGCTCCTTGTCTCAAATGAATATGTCGTATTATATAAAGTATATTATAAGTATATATAGGTATATATGAAAGTTTAATATTTGTTTTTTTTTTACCATAATATGCATGAGTAATAAGTATGTTCATTAGGGTGATTAAAAAAAATCTTGCAAACAGGCTCAAAAGTTTCAATTTGACGTAAAAAGATACCAGTTAAAATTTGATTTACCAGTTAAAATTTGAATTTTTAATATTAATATTAAGACTGCCCACATCACGTTTTTCTATTCCATAAAAATACCATGGAAAAATTTTGTTCTGCACCTATAAATTTTATTGCTAGCCTGTCGTGTGTCACAAAAAAGATCCTTTTTCTTATTTAGTAGAGAATTGAACGTTCTACCAAAAAGGGCTCTTATGATTTTTCGAGAAACCCAATCATTTAAGAGTTATTTGAGGTCAAAGTTCAATTCATCACAAATTTTAAGGTTTTTGATGCATTACAGAAAATTTTATGGTTTTATTGAAACAAATTAATCAACATCAAACAAACCTACAACAATTTCAAATAATTTTTTTTAGATAATTACAAAAAACCTAATTTTAAATAGTTTTAACATCCTGTAACTCTAAAACTATGCATCTCCATACCCAGTTTATAGGACTTTTTTTATAGTTTTGATGAGGAATCAATTACTACTTATTTAAAACTTTAGCGAGTTAATGATATTAATTTTTTTATTTTTTAAATGTTGCTATATTAGACTTGGAACAAAGCAAATTAATAAAATTGCGTATCTCATGTAGGAGGCCGAAATCGACAATAGACAATAGACAAATCGGCATTAAATTGCTTACACTATTTTGCTAACAAGAGAAAAAAAGTGGCGTACATGCTTTTTTAGAAAAATATTCCAGTGATAACCCATATGCACGTCCCTGGTGAATATGTCGACACTTTTTAGCATATGTCGCATTTATAGTAACTTTTATCCGTAGTATTGAAAGACGAAAGACATCGACAATCTATACTTAAAGTTGTGCTCTGATTTGTTACCTTAGCAATTCTACATTTTAAAGCAAAATCTGTTATATACTGGTTTTAATTTTTGCGAATAACTCCTCCATATCAATTTTTATTGACTGCAATGCTGCCATTAAAAACTATACCATATTTTTTTAGAGCAATTTAAATAAATAATACATTTTTAAGGGATTTCTTGGAAATAGTAATAAATCTATCGATATCTATAATTTATTTAAAAAAGGTCGAAATAAAGGCTTTATATAGCCTTTAATATTTTCTGAGTTCTGACAAGTTTGGCTTCTGGCTTCTAGCCTAGTGTATATTTCTTTTTTTAATGATTACTGAAATTACCGGTCTTTGAAGACGATTTACCGGTAATATTTTACTGCGTTTTTAGTGCATTTTAACCGTTAAATTGATAAATCGGCAATGCATTCCCTAAATAAAACACTATTATACTTCAAAATAAAAACACTAAATCACCACAATACACCAAAACACTTTTACTTTTACACTGGACGCGCGTTTCGCTAACCATGTTAGCATCATCAGCAGATGATTATAAACTTTTTTCTTTAGTTTATAATCATCTGCTGATGATGCTAACATGGTTAGCGAAACGCGCGTCCAGTGTAAAAGTAAAAGTGTTTTGGTGTATTGTGGTGATTTAGTGTTTTTATTTTGCTGTTTAACACCAAAGGTTCCAACCCTCAACTGTAAACTATTATACTTAATTTGTTATCGAAATGTGCCATAACTTGCATTGATGTATCGAAATAATAATTATAGAAAATGTTCAAGCGGTTCAAATGTCCTGTAGCGGTCGGATTTTTATTGTTTACTTACTTTTTATATTATCAGTCAATAATATTATGTTGTAACCCTGCTTATGATTTAGTTATATTAGTAGTATTAGTTAAGTATTATTAATAATATAGCAGCGCATATTCAAAAGGTTACCCTACTGTATTAAGATTTGTACGGCTTTTTATTGCCAACAACGGGGAATTTCCATCATAAAGCCAAGCTATACATAAAGCCCATTATCCCTTAAGCTCACACGACCCAACAAAATTTTCAGAATTTCTAAATTTTAACGATCGTAGAGGAAGTGGGGCGGGGCCGGGTTGAACCCGACAGGCTCGGGTGGCATATTGTGAGTTAACAATATGTGACAGTTAGTAGCTATTTTCAAAATCGAAATTAGTTTATGGACTTTATTTATATTTATAGGAGTTTACTTTTATTTAATTTACCTACAATAGACAGAATATTTAATTTACCTACAATAGATAAAATTTATTAAATATGTATTTATTATGCTATCAAGAAAAACGAAGAAGTAGTTCTTTGATTTATTTTACGATTACTTGTAGATATAATATGGATTTTCTATAAAATAGCCAATTACGGCAAATTCATTTTCTTGACTTCAAACGACAGGTTTCTGCCTAATAGGTTTTTTATAAACCACACCACCAGCTCTGCGAAATAGGGTCAGTAGTTTTTCAAAGGAACGCTTATCAGGAAGATTCTTATTTGGATATCTTTGAGCATAAGCCTTTGAGGCCAAGAAGCAATTTTCTGCACAAAATAAAATCAGTAGTAACATATCCATTCGTTCCGCTAGCAGATACTGCTTTATTTTTCTTGATAAAATAATGAATACTTCCATATTAAACTATTGTAGGTAAATTTAAGTAAACTGTTAAAAATCTAAATAATAATGTCCATAAACTAATGTCGAATTTGAAAACAGTTACTAAATGGTTACGACAGTTACTAACTGTCACTATAAAATTGCTATGGCGACACCAGCCATCTTGTTGCCATTTTAATGAAAAATCCCTTTTATTCAAATATAGGTAGTAAGATAGGTGTATTCTAGATAGGTATAGGGAAACCCTAATATAGTTTGAAGGAGTATTTAAATCTGCTTCGACTTATTTTAAAAACACAGGGTGTTGCGTTCAAAATAACGTTTTTATGTAAAATAAATATTTAAAATAGATCAGCAATTTTTTTTGGTGCTCCTGTATAAATTTAAGGTGCTCCAATAAAATTTTTCAGTAAAGTTCATTTGTCTACTTTTAAACTCAACGCAAGAATTAATTCTGAAAAGTAATGTACAGGGTGTTGATAACCTATTCTATTGTAGCATGCATATTTAAATATCTTTAAATATCTCAAAAACCAAAGATTTTAAACATATTTTACTTAACCCTTATAATGAATACCTTTTTTAAGCAAAAGAATCCAAAATAAAATAAAATATATTCCATAAGAAAAAGTATAACTTACGGACCTTAGTTCTAAAACACCCTGTATATTTCAAAATAATTTTAAATTGTGCACATTGCCTTCCCACATATACCTATAAAATATTTTGTTTCTATATCTTTCTCTTTTAGTATAATCAACCAAGGCGAAAGAGGCCCAAGTAGCATATAATATGTGACTTCGAACTAAATCTGACCTGAAGCGACGTCAGACTTTGTGTAAATTTAGGTCGGGTGTTGGTGATACGACTGGTAACGTCGCTTTCCTATTAAAAGTGACGTCGTTGGGTCCAAGTCGGTAAATCCAACGATCTGTCGACGTACAAAATAACAACGTACCATTTTTATTAATTTCCCAACGTCGTTCCAACGTTGGCTTGCACGACGTACCTATACTTGAACTAGCCCGACGTCTACCCGTTGTCCGAATAGGATACGTCTCACTGATAATCCCTAAAGTAACGTACAATTATATTTTGTTGTATTTTATGTTCATATTTTTAAATTTACGTATCTCTATTTACGTCCGTAAATACAACCCATTAAGTAGCATTTGCGGCCTAATAAACATCATGAACATAACCTAATAAAAAGTTTTTGTAAACAAACTTTTTTTTTATTATGCCTAAAAAAACACTAAAAAGGCATTTAGACATTCATCTACATTTTACAGAAAGAGGTCGAGGCTTTTGCAAAATAATAATAGTAGTAGTGATGTCTTCCCTCCGCCCACGAATGCTTTTTATGCGGAAAAGATGCTGCATTACACTGGTGCATCTTAATTTTATTTGTTAGCTTAGGAAACTAGCAGACCCCATCCTCCTCCCACATGTGAGGTACTGGTTCCAATTCTTTTAAATTTTGTATATACTATCTTAAAAAAGTGGCTGCCCATTGTTTTAAAGAGAAAACAAAAACTAAAATATAGTTGCACAAATCACTGTTACGCAAAGTGAGGTTACGTGGCGTACGTTGGAATTATATACGTCATAATACGATTGCCGGTTGTCCGGTTTGATGACTTCGGTCGTGTGAGACGACTAATGTTGGACACCCGGTCGGAATCGGTATATTGGTAGTTCATATTAAGTCGGACACAGAAATCCGCCATTCTTAACAGGTATCCGATTGTCAGCCATTTTAAAATCTTTTTTGTTTTTAAAATTTATATTCACATTCCGATTTCTAGTAGAATAATATTGATAAGGTTGAGTTTGGGGGGAACCACAATACAGTTTTATGATTAAACCAGCTAGAAAATAAAAAAAATATTTTGCGAGTTACTTTTTTATAGATATTTTTATTTCATAAATCTACCTACTTTTGAAGGCGCTCGTTGTTTTCCGGAGTATTTTAATCAGATATATCAAAAAAGTGACTTCCGTTGACAAAACTGATGTCTGGATTAATGATTCAGAATTATTATAATATGAAATTAGATAGGCACTTATAGTTCTATTCTAGGAGTGATTATGAATCCATTTGTAATTAGGTAGTTTGGTTAGGTTTTTATGTATTCTTGGTAGCAAATATGAAACCAAACGTAACGTAAGTGCTTAGCGACGAATTTTAAGTAACTAAAATCCAACGTAATATGACGTTGGTAATTGGTAGAATTACATTCCCTATTAGGTCAGATACCGACGTCGAGGCGACCCGAATATGTATTCCCCATTTAGGTGCAAATAAGGGTCGTCAGGCGGTCGAACCGACGTTGGTACCCGACGTCGGGTTTATTGAACGCGACATATACCCGACGTTAGATAACGTCCAAATGCTACTTGGGGGTGCGCCACCCTGTATATGCACAGATTATATAAATATTTTTTAACTGGAATTATAAGCTAAAGTTTAATGGAAAACCTATTTCTTAAAGGATAAAACATTAACTGAATGAAAATTGTGATTGTATTTCAGTAATTTATGTTTTTAAAATCCTTAAAAAATACAAACATTCTTTTAACGCTTAGTATTACTATTGTAAGGATATAGACTCTGAAATGCTGCAGAATCTTGTGGAGTGTCATCATCACTTCCCGATTCTCCATCAGATTCAAAGGTGTTATCTGGAATATCATACAGACGAATCATGGACTTGTTTGGATCTTTCATAATTAGGTATTTTCCATCTTTTTGCTTCATTACTATATCAATAATGCATCTAAAATAAGCCGATGAACATATTAGTAATTATGAATTTAAGAGAGAATTAATGCAGACCTTAAAACACCCCAGGCATTATCCATATTCAAATTAATTTGAGTTGCAAATTCAGCTGGTTTATATTGCTGTGTGCCAAGTATAACATGCTTGTTGCTGTCTCTAACATGGGAACGACTCACATAACTGTAAATATAACATAAAAATTAATGCCCTTATATGATATTTAATGAAATTTCATACCCAAATTTAATTTGATCACTACCGGCTAGTAACGCTTGTACTGTCCATTTGGCCAATTTGCAAGCATTATTTCTAAGCTCGTTAGCTAAAACTGCACCTCTTTGAATGTCAAGCTTTTGGCGCCATTCTACACCATTAGCTATTTTGGAATCCCATTCGTTCAATGCTTTAATAGTAAGGAACTGTAATTCTCCACTTGGAGACTGAACTACTGCATCATGTTCGCAACGAGCCACTAATACCTGTTAAAGTCTTTTTATAGTCAAAGAAATTATTTCTAAAGCTTATTGAAACTTACAATTCCCCCACCCAAGTCCCATTTGCGATATCTATAAGCAACACTTGCTACTTCGCCTTCTTCCTCTTCAGAAATAAAAGGATTAGGCTCATCGAATTTATAGCGTGGTTCATTAGCTCCAGTTTTTAAGACCTACAAATAAAAAAAAATAGTTCCTCATATATTAAATGTTCCCTTTAATACAATACCTGCTGGCTGAAGTTATGATTAATGAAGGTAGCTTCTAAAGCTAAATTCCTTGGCGAATTCAGAGAATTTCCATCATCTTGTGGTGGTTCTACTGATGTTTCATTTACAGTCAACAGATCAAACTCAGTGTTGTCTCTCTTATCAAAGAATAATTTATCCCCTAAAAATAATGGGCCATCAGAATTACTTCTAATTGACTAACATATTTATCTACCAATTTTTTCAATGACAATGTCCCATGAATAGTTTGATCTAGTGCAGCACATAATAGTTGCCAAAATAGCATCAGTAGCATAGACATTACCCTCAGTTTTAGAGAGTTTACGAATGATAGGATCATCAGTTGTTGTAACCTAAATAGTATAGTAATACAATAAATAATTCAATAAAAAATTAAGATAAATACTTACAGTATGGAAAATACGATTAACACTTTGCAATGGTTTTTCATTTTTAACATTAACTCTGTCATAAGATTTATCATAGTATTCCAATTCTCCACAACATACAATATCCTCTCCTAAACAAAAAGGACATTACAATGACATTAAATTTTCGATATTATTATTTAATTACCTTCTTTGATGCTTGGTAAAGATAACTTCCCAAGACGTGGAAAATCCATTTCCTCAATAGTAGTCCAGTCTGGTTTAACAGTAACAGATGCATCTCGTATTTTAATTTGAGGCTGTAACATAACAGTAAGCTTAACAAAGAACTAAAAATAATTTATTTTTCATACTCTTCCTTGCCATTTCCTAACTTGGCTCTTCTTGTAAGTATCCCTTGTTTTAAGCCCTTTACCTAACGATTGCATACCGCCACCTTGAACATTACTACGACCCCCGCGTCCTCTAAGATTCCTTTGGTTGGCACGGAATCGTCCACGTTGGTATGGAGGCTTTTGTACACGAGTTGTATCAACAAGGTGAAATGTACTTTCATCCTCATCATGATAGTAAGCATACTGGCTACCAGAACCGAACTGGGAAGCATATTTGTCTTAAAAGAAATTAGGTATGTATTTTAAATTTTAATTTAGAAAAGAAAAAAACTTACTTGCATATTTTTTATCTTGAAAAGCTGCTCCCGTCCAGTCACTAATTTTCCCTAATCGGTCTCCTTTACTGAAAGGTTGATATGGCATGTCTTTAAACTGATCCGGCAGTTCACATGGCCCCCATCCAGTTGGATTGTCCTGAATAACAGGGGCAACAAAATGCAACGGTTCGCTTGCAGACTGATTATCCGTCATGGTCATTTGAAATATAAAACTGTAAAATCAGGCTACAATATGGTAAACCTTTAATTAATAATTTATTCGAAATAACCACACCGCAACTAAAATCTAAAATCAAAATCAGAAACGAACTGACATTGACAATTGACTATTGACTTGACACTTGACACATTTGACAAGGACATTTTTAAAGGACACGAAAATGCTTATATGATTCATATTTTATAATTTATAACAATTCTCATATATTTTAAACAAAAAATTAGAGAATACAGTTTTTATAATAAAAAAATAATATATTATGAATGTTTAGTTGCTCTTTTCGTACACCGCCCTTTTAATTTTACCTTGTATTGTCTTTTCTTTTAACTTTTTATTCTAAAAATAATTTTTCTTAGATTATAATATATGATTTAGTTTTCTTTAAGCTTAGGCAACTAAACATACCACCCTTACAGGGTGAGTCTAAAATAATAAGTCCAAATATTTTTTGTTGCGGTAGGAATAATATTTGAACAGTTAACAGTAAAAAATACTAATTTAAATAACACTTTCAATTAACAAATATATTATGATAATAAGGCTACATAGGACAGATTACATTTAGAGGAACGAGAGCACAGAAAAAATCCAGTTCTCAATATTTAAGCAAAAAATATTGTTTTTATTTATTTAAATATCTCTGCCTCTGCTATTATGAACTTATTTGAAAAACGAGAGAGAAAATATTACCTATATTTCACTCGCCGTTTCAACAACTTTGCAATTAAGCGAAAATACATTAGTGGATATTTTACTTTTTTTTATTTTCTGTTATACATATATATATATATGTTTTTAATTTTCTGTTATATATATTTTTTTAATTTTATTCTTTTTAATATACGTATATTATACTTCATATATAATTTAAATTTTACATTGGATAAAATATGCACCTAAATTTAAACATTTTTTTTAAATTCTATTGCTAAAAAATGTTGCTATTATGCGGTCTGGCCAGAGGGTCTGGCATACATTTGAATGCTTTTTTATTTTGATATGTGTCCAGACAGTATAAAATTACTAAAATTTATATTCTTATAGATGACTAGAATACAAGGATATCTGCAGCAGAATTTGTAATGTTACAGCGCTTTCAGATGGAGCGGACCGTCCGCGACTTCGTGCAAGTACCATGAGTTTATATGAACAATTTCACATGGATCGCGTATGCTCCGTCCGGATGATTTCGTCCGACGGCTATCTTGAAAAACACGAAGGACGGTCCGCGCGGATGTTTCTTCATGATAGCTCATCCGGACGGAGCATACGCGACCCATGTGAAATTATTTATACAAGCTCATGGTACTTGCTCGAAGTCGCGGACGCTCCGCTCCATCTGAAAACGCTGTTAGACGTCTTTTTGTTGTTTGCAACAAATGAGTCAATAGAGAACAACGGCATACGGTCGAGTCGGCCGCTGCTGGCACGTAGACGTAGACGTAAAGAATCTTTTACGTGTATAAAATATAAAAATATAAGAAATGCGCATGCGTACGTAAACGTTTACGTGTTTGTAGGCCGACTCGACCGTATGCCGTTGTTCTCTATTAGCAGGTCGGCTCATCAGTCATCAGCGACAATTTTAGCGATTTTTAATAGTTTGTGTGTAGTGAACTTTATACAGTACATCTGCTGGATCTGTGTCTATGAAAGGAATGCGGACAAAAAAAACATTTAAATAAACAGCAATATATGTTATACGTCGATTTGACGAGTGCGTCACCGCAAATCGCTCCGCCCACTCATTTTATTGGCTACTTGCAAATTTGTTGAATTTTTATTGATGGGACGCGTCGTCTATTTTTTTTACGAAAAACATCGAGAGAATATTGTTTCCCCTCTCACGGATACCCCGTAGCTACAGAACGGGCAGACGTACTACTGTACTGGGTCGGCATTTCTTGTCTTGGGTGCCGGTTTTCATGTGTACGAAGAGTACGGCCAACATGCTAAGTAAAATAAGATGTACTCTATGATGTACTCAATAAAGACAGAAGGCGAGTATTTTCCCAAGCGCATGGAATCTAGCGTCAGATTAAGTACAGTACGTCTGTCCGTTCTGTGGCTACGGGGTATCCGTGAGAGGGGAAACGATATTCTCTCGATGTTTTTCGTAGAAAATTAGACGACGCGTCCCATCAATAAAAATTCGACAAATTTGCAAGTAGCCAATGAAATGAGTGGGCGGAGCGATTTGCGGTGACGTACTCGTCAAGTCGACCTATAAAATATATTGCTGTTTATTTAAATGTTTTTTGTCCGCATTTCTTTCATAGACACAGATCCAGCAGACGAACTGTAGTTATGTAATAAATACTTCGTATTTTTGCTTACTCCGACTTACTAGATTGCCATAACGACTCACTCCTATACATGTAAACACCGACCTAAAGGTTCGCTTGCCAGCGGGGTATAACTTTATTACAATGGTGATTAGTTGTTCAACTTTCAAGTGTATACGCCGCCACAGCGATAAGAAAGAACCAATAGTTACGATTCCATAGGTAAATAAACAGCCCACTCCATTTTTTAGCGCTTTTTTTTATTGAATTCGATAATAATTATTTTTCTGATGTTATATGTACTTGATATGTGCTAAAGGTTGATACTATAGTTTTGTACCTTTTGTTAACATTTTAATACGTTTTTTTTCGTAATTAATTAGTATGATACCACCGCATACATAGGCATAGTCAAAACATTTATCAACAATATAAATATTTCTTCTAAGGGGCTATGTTAAGAAAAGTCAGTGCCACGGCACTGTTTGGTGGTATGGTAACAATTTGGTCGCAGATGTTATTCGTCCTTGTATCTTGTTGGTTAGTCACTGGCATAAAATAATAAATACAAGAAGAAGTGTCAAGCATAGATAAATGAAACAACTTTAGATTGGAAAGTGCCCATAAGGACAATGTAAACAATATTTGGCGCTATTCTTGCAACGGTCGCGACCTAAAACTTTTGAAAATTTCGGAGCGGTTCGGCTTTTTCCGGAATTATATCGCCAAATATTGTTTATTCAAATTTATTATTATTTTCGTTCGTTTATTTCTAAATAAAATACAGTGTGTTGCATACAAGAAACTTTATTTTATATAAGGACGCATGCATGAAATACCTATGAAACATTGGAAACCGACGTTATGCCACGATCCACGATGGTTTTGCAGTTCATAGTTCACAGCACAGCTTTTAAGTTTTTAATGCCACTTTTTCACAATTATCACCGGTTGAAGTAAATGAAACTTGAATTAAACTCACAAGATAGCAATAATTACTTTGAAAATGAACGCTATAAACACTTTTCGGAATTTCTTTAATGAGAGCGGTTTAGATTTTGAAAGACTATTATGATTTTTGAAGATTCTGACTTTGACAAGAGAAAATTATTTCTGTTTTAGTTTGCCGTTGTTCTTAGCGACCGCTATAGCAGCGCCAGATCGCGTATAACGGTCGCGACCCAAAATAATTTCGCGACCCAAAATTTTGACGGGCTTTCCAATCTAAACTTGTTGCATTTATCTATGGTGTCAAGTCAATGTTAAATTATGGAAACAGCGTGGCTGCCTGGGTAACTAATTTTCAGATATGGCGGCTGGGACATTTGACATGACATAGACATGACAATTTCAATTTTATGAAATTTATTTCCGTTTCCGGTTTTTAACGACGGGCTGTTCAGGAGGTTTAAATCAGGGTTAATATACTTTTTACTCTTTCTAGTAGTAAATAAAACAACAAAATTACTCAAAAATATTTATTTGGAATTTAGAACAATGTAAATATGCAAATCAACACAATTAAAGAGCTATAAACACATAAACTACTGTATCAATATCAAAATATTTAAATAACATCAGAGATGCTGTGTTAAAGTGAATTAGTAAAGTAACAGTGCACTGACTTACAGAAACATGAAGATAAATAAATGTTTTCACAGCTTCACGGGCGTAAAACTAACTAACTGGAAGCAGGAAAAAGACAACAGGAACCCACACAAAACCTGGAATCAAAAAAATATGTAAAAACATAAATATAGGTACATAAGACTTTTGTGAATTAAATCAAACAGGACTTGAATGAAAATAAAATGAATAAAAAATATGATACATATACATCTAATACCTCATTTGTATTTTAAAAATAATCTACATACATAGATTTATAGCATTATTGCTATGAAAATACATAATAGGTACCTATGTGATATGTAATTACGCATTTCTGTTCATCTTGTAGAAAATTAATGTAGGCTAATAATAGTTCAATAATCATAATTTACCTTGTATAACTTGCTTTCAATTGCTCAAAATCACCGATCAGTCTTTAAAGTAGAGATACGGAAAAATCCTTGGCAAAGAATATCCCAAGATCCTTGGGTTTAAAGTTAAAAAAATATAAAAACAGTTAATATATTACCTATTTTTACATATAATATGGCCCATACCTACTACACGCAGAAACGTCGATTTCATCATTTTCTTCATGTAATTAATATCATATATACTTTATTAAAGTGTTAACAAGGAACTTTATATCAAAAAACATCTTTGTACTTATAAATTTCAGCCGAAGCCGAAATATCAGAAACAAACTTCCAATCAAATCTAAACGGCAAAAATTAAAATGGCGCCCGACCTTGCTAGAGGCCTCGGGAGCTGACGCTGACACACAGACAAAAGACAAAAGAACAGGACGCCGACGTGCATAAAAATGTTCCGTAGCAGAAATTGACAGAAATCATATAGAAATATTCAGATTTTTGTCTAGGACAGTCTAGAAGGCCATGCTTTCTGCCTGGGTAGAACCGCGCCACAACTGTTTCCAATTTTCCGGTTTACTGTCACCCCCCTGCGCGCCACAACTGTTTCCAATTTTCCGGTTGACTGTCACCCCCCTGGTCACTGGTTCCTTTGAGCACAGAATATCTAGCTACGCAGATATCTTGCGTAGCTAGATATTCTGTGCTTTGAGTAAAAAAATTAACTGGTTCCTATAATAGAACAAAGACAAGTATTTCGGTTTGTGTTTTATTTCATATTAAAATATTTATTCTTTGAAATAACTTCTGTTACAATAAATTATATCATAATTACTTATAAATATACATGATCAAATTACTTTAGAGAGAGATAACTTAGTATAATCTACCTATACTTAAACTGATATATCTGAACTTTATTTTGACTAAAATTGCGACTGTAAACTGAATTTATTTACAACATACTGTCGGTAACTTCGCCCGGATTTTCTAAAGCTGTTTTTCGCTCGTTTATTGCATTGACCAATTTTCTATAAGGTCCTAATGGCAAGCTGAGGCTTTTTAGATCATTCTCGGTAAGAATTAGCAGCGTTTCCAAGTCGATCTTCTGCTCCACGAATCGGGAAAGGTATTCTCCCAGTCCAAAAGCCGTTAAAAATCTTTCGAGAGGAGCATTCGGATTTTCCTCCTCTTCACTAGATTCGGATTCTAAAAAAAAATTTAGAAATTATTTGCCCAAGCATTTGAGATATTTAGGCCCTGTTGTACAGGGTGTTAAATTTTGGTTGATATCATACAGTATCTCCGTTATTAGTGAAGATAGAAGGGTGCGGTTTGCACAAACCTGTCCCACTTTTTTGTCAAACGGAAGATGCTGTAAACAAAATTTTAATAGAAAGAGGGCTATTAAAATTTTGTTTCTGAGCGCAAGAAGGTGAGAACTCTTTATTGTATAACTTTTTACGTAGAATACAGTGGCGTAGGCTGTCGTTCTACGAAAATAATATTTTCGAAGATATGAAATAAAGTTAAGTTTTCTTAAATGGAACACCCTGTATATTTATAAATCATATGATCTGGCTTGCCATAAACATGTCAAAAATATATATTGCTGTATAAATACTACTTACTGCAATATTTAAATGTTTTTATTAAAAGATCATATTATTTATTAGTAAGCCATCATTATAATAAAAGACACTAAGGAATTATTAAAAGTATACTGCTACCTGTCTCTTATTTTATTTTGAGAGCCACTAATAAATTCTTTATATATCAAGGAAACTTAACTTTATACCGCTATTTGTAAATCTTGGAAGCTATCGTACCGGAACTTTCCCTTAGCTACGTTTACGTGAAACTTTAATTAATTTACGTGAAATTTACTTTCAGCAAGATGGGGCTTCCCCTCATAACTTTGAAAATATTAGAATTTTGTTAAATTACTATTTCCCAAATCAATGAAATGGAACCAATGCAATGGATCCATAATCTACACAATCGCCACCCTGATTCCTGGGTTTGTCCCGTCCCGATTTCTGTATTTAGGGATTTTGAAGACCTGGAAGATGCTATCAGGCAAGCTTTTATATATTTGCAAACCCCATCTTGTTATAATAAATCCCTTTATAAAAAAAACGGAAAATATATTCAGATATTCACTGGTAACAGTTCAAAAGTAAAATATTTTCCCAAATTTATCCCAAATAAAATTTTATATGTGTATAATAAATACCATTTTGATTGTTATCTATCACGGCCTACTAAGAAGAAAATGATATATTTTGAATATTGCAGTAAATAGAGAAAATAAATATAAAGTGTTATGTATTTTTGAGAAGTTCATATCAAGCAAGACGGATCATATGATTTATAAATATACAGGGTGTTCCATTTGAAAAAACATAACTTTAGTTCATATTTTCAAAAATATTTTTTTCGTAGAAAAAAACAGACTACGCCACTATATTCGACGTGAAAAGTCCTACAAGAATCACTTTTCACCTTCTCGATATCATGTGATATCATCCACAATAACGGAGATACGGGGGCTGTCCCAAAATTGCAAAATTTTCGAAAAGACCCTGTAGCTCAGGAACTATGAGGGCTATGAAAATTTTGTTTACAGCATCTTCCGTTTGACAAAAAAGTGGGACAGGTTTGTGCAAACCGCATCCGCCTATCTATACTAATAACGGAGATACCGTATGATTTCAACTAAAATGGGACACCCTTAACACAGTAGCGGATCTAAGAGAGGGCTTTGGGGGCTCAATCTTCGGCCGATTTTCTTTCCGTATAATGGTCTCTATAGTATTTACTACATTTTTTGTCTCTTGTAAAAAAACGCCATTGAGCATACGTTTTGAGGAAAAAAAATATTCTTTCAAAGCTGACTTCCAAAAAATGTTTTTTGTCACATTAAGTTATAGAGGAGCATAACATTTATTACGCTCTAATAATCTAGTTGGCAAAAATATGGAATTTTATGTCAGTATTACAAAGTGTTATGTATTTTTGAGAAGTTCATTGCAAGACGGATCATATGATTTATAAATATACAGGGTGTTCCATTTGAAAAAACAACTTTAGTTCATATTTTCAGAAATATTTTTTTCTGTGATATGATATCACAGTGTAATTAATTATGATAATTATTATTATTTTACCTGAAAGCTCATCATCTGTGATGATTCTTTGGCTGTAACTTTCCCCTGATCCAATTGAACTCTCTTCCGGCCTAACGGGAGTATTTTGGTAAAAGCCACCAAATGAAGTTAAACTCTTCCTAAAATACAAAAAAGTGTGAATTATATACCGTGTGATCGAAAAAAAAACGGCGTGAAAGTCCATTTAACACAATTTAAAATCATTTTTACTCAATATAAAAATAAATTACATCCTTCTTAAGGTCAACTGGGAGTATAAGCGATATTACAAAATAAAGAAGAGTACGGATCAAGTGAATTACGTCTAGGGCTTGGCATCGCCAAAATTAACATCGATTGTTATTCCCCAGCCGTCTTTGACGCTGTTTTTTTTTCGATCGTGTGGTGAGTCTTAAATAAGTGCAGATATTTTCAGGTCGATAAAAAATCTTGATAAAAGAAACATATTTTCTCTTTAGTGTTTTTCAAATAAGTCCAAAATAACCAAGATATTTTACTTTAAATATGTAAAAAAATGGATTTTTGGCTTAAATTTTGATAACCATTGGATATTTTCTGGGTTTCCTTTCTTGTAAATTTAATCTACTACCTATGTTGTCATATTATGAAGATATTTATGTTCTTTAACTAAAAATTAAAAAAAAAATCCAAATTTTCAAAATTATTTTTTCGCGAAAAAGAACTCATAGACGTGTTTCTGGGGTCGAAATATACTATCATATCTATGAAATATATATGATATCTATTTATTTACCTGATGACTATGCTTCCAATGCCCGGTCTGATAAATATACCGGATGTTTCGTTTTGCGGCTTATCCGGATTATTCTGCATCTCGGCCAGAAAGTCCGGCTGCGAAATGCTCCTAGTCAGTCCGTTGCTGGGCGGGGGTGGTACGGCACTGTCCACTTGTTCCGCCTCGTTGAAAATCCCATCCAGTCTTCCTCTTCTGTAGGGTTCGAAAGCTGAACGTTGCAAAGTGCCCCCGTACAACACTTCCGAGTCCCTTCTAATACCGGAAAGTTTCGATATCGATGCTTTCCCATCTTGAATTGTCGTTACCTAGAAGTAATATTAATTTTTTAATATTTTTTTTGATTCTGATTTTGATTAGTACGAATTGATCATTGGTACCTTAAAATCGTCTTCATCATTTTGTCCTAAACGGTTATTCTTATTGGCTAGAATTTTTCTCTGGACCGTACCCATTGTTTTATTGCCTTTGACTGTTCCGCCCATGACTAGATTACTGAAAGTGGTACGTCTCTCTGGTGGCAGATTCGATAAGTTGGTCATAGAACCGCTTTTGATACGAGCCTTGATTGTGTTGATCATGGAGGGTTTGTAATCCTTCGTCTGTCTTCGTTCTAATTTTTCTTGGATGTGTTCCGTTTTTGCTTTTCTCTTATTGTATTCCTAAGGGATAAGGAAAAAAGTTTTGTAACTTCTAGGTACATATACAGTAGGGTGCACCAAAAAAAAAATGAATATTTTTTTTCTTTTAGTTACCGTGAAAATATCGTTCAGGATGACAAGAAAAAATTCTCGTAAAGTTCGAACTTTTAATATTAATATTAAGAGGTGCCTCATCGTGATTTTCCATTTCCCATTTAAATGAGACGGGGAAACAATTTTTTTTTGGAATTTTATTGCGTTTTAACAAATCAGCGTTTGGTAAAAATCTATATATATATATATATATATATATATATATATATATATATATATATATATATATATATATATATATATATATATATATATATATATATTCTTGTAGAAAATTGAACGACTTTCAAAAAAGGTCTGATATAAATTTTCATTTAATCGACTCGTTTGAAAGTTATTGAAGGTTAAAGATCAACTTCAAATCGTATATGATAACTTCTGTTTTATATTTTATCACAAAATAATGGCTCAAACACCTAAAATATCATATTTAATGTTTTTGAGCCATTTCGTGAGAAAATATAAAAAATTGTGGAAGGTATCATATACGATTTAAAGTTGAATTTTAACCGTCAATATCTTTCAAACGAGTCGATTAAATGAAAATTTATATCAGACCTTTTTTGAAGACCGTTCAATTTTCTAGAACATGTATTGATTGCTGATAACCATTGCTGATTTGTTAGACGCAATAAAATTCCAAAGAAAAAAACTTGTTTCACCGTGTTATTTAAATGGGAAACAGAAAGTCACGACTAGGCAAGACCTCTTTATTAATATTAAAAGGTCACACTTTACCAGTTTTTTTTCCATTATCCTGAACGATATTTTCACGGTAACTAAAAAGATAAAAATATATTTTTTTTTGGCGCACCCTAGTATACAAGGTATTGTTCAAACCTGAATTTCCCGTTTTTTTCGGTACCTTCGGTACTAACTAATTTTTGTTCAATGATGGTGCAGTTCTTTAATTAGGTATGATTTTCCAAAGTAAAATCGATACAAAATTGAGATTTTTAATGAAAATATCAAATTATTAAGTGATTACTTCATAATTTGATATTTTCTTCTTTGCTTGTGTTCATGTTAATTTTCTCTTGACTGATTAGCCAAGAGAAAATTAACATGAATACAAGCAAAGAAGAAAATATGGGTAACTTAAAACTAAATTTGAGAAAAAAGCCCCACATACAAATACAAATATCTATTAAAACATAACATATACATTAATATAACCCTTGATATAACTAATGTATTGACCAATATTATACTAAATAATAAAATATCATATTTATAAACTTCAATAATTGCTAATAAACATTATAGGAATTTCAAAAGAGAAAAGAAGCAAGAACAATAAGAAATAGCATCATTCCTTATTTAGAAGTGTTTGATTTCGACCGCTAGAAAGGACTTTCTCACGTAACAAAATTTTAAATTATTGTGACCGAGTCCCGAATGAACCGGGAATTCATTACGAGACTCGGTTCTGTAATGGCCAAAAAAATCCGAGAATTTCCGGTTCTGAACCCTAATTGGGAGTATTAATTAGGTTTATTTTAGGGGAATTTCGGTACAATGCCTCTAAGCAACCGGGATTTCCTGATTTTGTCGGTACTAGCAATTTTTTTTCAATGATTTTGCAGTTCGTCAATTAGCAAGCAGGGGATGATTTTCAGAAGTAAAACCGATAGAAAATTGAGTTTTAAATGAAAATAATTTCAAATTTTTAAGTAATATAATAAATATATAAGTAATATAATCAGTCATGAAAAAATTGACATGAACACAAATAATGAACACAAGCGAGGAAAAAAAACGAAAAAAAACCATAGATAACTTAAAATTTACATAAAACAATATAAACCAATTTAACTAAATTTGAAAAAAAAACTACATTTTGAATTAAAAATTTAAATGCCTATAACATAAACATAACTTAGTACCATTTAGCAACATTATACATAATATATTTAAACTTCAATAATTGATAATAAATATTATAGGAACTTCAAAAGAACTTCAGAAGTCAGAACAATATTATAGCACGAGTTTGATTTCGACCGCTGGAAAGTATCAATAGCAATTTTTAATTATTGTTACCGAGTCCCGAAAGTACCGAAATAACCGGGAATTAATAATTTCGAGTCCCGGTTCTTTAATGTCTCAGAAAACCGGGAATTTGGGAAAGCTAGGCTAGAACCGGAGGAACTATGCTCCCATTCTATCAAGGACCTGCATAAGCTAGTGCAGGGCACAGGGATAGGAGAATGGGTGCAGATATAGAAAGGGGACAAACACAAAAGGCCTCACAGGTCCCAGTGTTTCCGGCAAAGAACGGCCCCTTGTTATGGAAAAAAAACGGGAATTCCCTGTTCTGAACTCTAATACAAGTTTGACAACACCATTATTGGGATCTCGGAAACTATAGGAAATACGAGGATGGTTAAATTAGGGCAAAGTTGTGCATTAATGTGTCTAATATGCTTAATAATAAATTAGAACAAGAGAGTTCCCTTTGGTGGTTTGTGGACTGTTTATTCCCAGTGAGTTAAGAATTGACAAATTATATTTTACAATATTTGTGATACCTTTACTCTCTTTTTGGCATTTTCTTTCGCTTTTTCCTTCATAGCTTTGACTTTCTTCTTATCGCTGGCTTCCATTTTAGCGGTGACTCCATCAAGAAATCTGAGAATATCTTCTCTGTTGTTTATACCGGCCAGTTCTTGTGCTGTTTTGCCATCGATGTCCGTATTGTAGATATTGGCGCCAAAATTTACTAAAAACGTTACTATGCGCATATGACCCTGCGCAGCTGCTAGGTGAAGGGCGGTGTTGCCGAATAGGTCCGCTTTGTCCGGATCTCCACTGAAAAAGTTGATAGTTTTCGGTAAATCCGGAATTCAGACAATCGGAGATAAGACATGCTAATAAAAAGAATGGAATTTCATTCTTGTAAATTTATTCTACTACTTATATTATCAAGAAATTATGTTTTTAGATAAAACCACAAAAATCCGAAAATTGAAATTTATATATAATATATTATATATCATTAAAAAAATAATTGACATTCATACATATATTATTAAGTTATGATATTTTTTATTCTAAATTTTTACAGTATAGTTGTAGAGGTTGTAGTTAAAAAATACTAAAATAATTTTATTTAGTTATACGTCACTCTATTCGGAGTGTCATTTTTATCAAATAAAGTGAAAAATAACCGAGGATGCCATTTAAAAATCAAAAGTTGTAGTCATTTACGGTGAAACAGGAAGTGACCGAAAACAATTGAATACGCCAATGAATCCTAATTTATGTCATACTAATATACCAAATCTCGTTTTTTTATCTGGGTTCTCCGCACCCGGTATATTGTACTACAGACTAACTAAAGTTAGTTTATGATTATACGTAACTTAAAACAGATTGATAATCTATACTAATCCAATAATCATTTAAACTTATCTTAAAAACTTACTAGAATCTGTACATTTTTCTTTGGTATAAGTCTATTTAATTGTATTTTTTTGTTATTTCAAAAAATAATTATTGTTGCCACTTCTGAGATTAGATTTTTTTAATATTATATGTAGTTGACAATTATTTAGATAATAATTTCTCTTTCCATTGTTTCATGTACTTTAAACTGATAAAGAATAGAATAATATATAAGGAAACATCAATAAACTTTCTATTTTTGCGGGATATTCTTATAAAGCGCCGCCGGGTCGGCATGAGCCAATCATAATAATTGTAATAAAAATATCATACATTTGCCATCCAAAACACCGGCCCGCGTCAAGTCAACTCTTTAAACATAAACATATTGATAACAACTAGACCTACATGTCGGAGTAACGAATATTTCAGTATCGAGTTTCGAGTTCTCGGTTCGTGCATTTCCAGGGATTACGATTACTGCCGGCGTAAAAGTAACGAATTAGCTTAGTAACGAGTAAACGAGTCCTAAATTCAAATGGTAAGCGTTACTTCGAGTCCTCGTAAAGTAACTGTTACTTTGTAACGATAACTTAGAATTTTTACATCACTAATTCTTATTAGTTATTCTAATTTTCAAGGTATTTAAAGCATATAATCAACTCTAATGAAAAAATTTGTAATAAACGTTTAGAAATTTTGAAAAAAAAAAAAACGTTGCCTGTTACTGAAAATAATTGTGTTAATTTGATATAAATCCAAACATAATTATACCTACGATTTGTATGCATATTTATTTTGGATAAATGTATGTTTTCATAATTTTAATTTATATTCTTATTTTTTAGTTCTTCGTTTAGTTAATTCAAAAAAATATGTATCTTAACTAGCGTGTACCAGGGACTTCGTTCGCCTCGAATTAATCATTTGTAATGGTGATGACAAAACAAAGCAAGAATTTCCATTAACATAAAAACTGGATAAAATTTTCTCACATTTATGTCAGCATGAGAAAAAACAATATGGCGATATTATTATATAACTTGGTAATATTTGAGGGGTAGTTTTATCTCGTTAGAATTTGACTTTCGAAAAATCCGTTTGCCAAAAATAAGCTTTTTACGGCAAGCAGTTTAAGCCGAATCGTGGTTAAGAAATTACCCAACTTTTTGAACACCCTGTATGATTTTTTAAAAACTTAAAAATATGTAAAAAAAACCAAATAAATTATGCTTGTCCAAGCGTTTTCCCGAAAGATTAACCGTTTTTTAAATAACAAATATTGTAATATTTGAGGGGCCCTTACTTTCACCCTCTTGGAATTTGAGATTCGAGATACCCCTCCTTATCGAACCTCTACACCCCACAGTCAATCCGTTTACCAAAAATCAGCTTTAAACGTCAAGCAGTTTAAGCAGAATCGTGATTACCCAATGGTCATATTTTATAAAACACCCTGTATAAATTTATAAAAAAATCTTAAAATATGTAAAACAACAAAATAAAATATACGTGTTTAAGAATTTTTCCAAAAAACTCACCGGTTTTTAAATAAAAAATATTTTAATATTTGAGGGATAGTTTCACCCCCTTAGAATTCGAGTTTCGAAAAATCCCTTCTTATCGAACCTCTACACCCTAAAGTCAACCTGTTTTCCAAAAATCAGCTTTTTACGTCAAGCGCTTTAAGCAGGATCGTGATTAATCAATGACCAGATTTTTCGAAACACCCTGTATACATTTTTAAAAATCTTAAAATATGTAAAAAAACAAAATAAAATATACGTGTTTAAGCGTTTTTTCGGAAACTTGACCGTTTTTTAAATAAAAAATATTGTAATATTTGAGGGATGGTTTCACTCTCTTGGAACTGGAATTTCGAAAAATCCCTTCTTATCAAACCTCTACACCCTAGAATCAACCTGTATGCCAGAATTGAGCTTCTTACGTTGAGTGGTTTGAGCAGGATCGTGATTAATCAGTATGTGAGTCACTTAAGGATTTTATATATCAGTATAGATTTTGGTTAGGAGGTATCGAGGTAGATATTATTTTTAGCTATGGAGAATAATTTTCGTGTATTGAAAAGTGGTCATCAAAGAGGGAACAATTAAGATGGCCTGCTGTAGCAAAAGTTGTACATTTGAAAAAAGCGCCAACAATTTTTGGAACAGGAAATAATTTAAAAGATTAAAAAAGATATATAAATATGCGATTTCTGCAGGCGCGTGGTGCTACTTGAGGTTGCTACTATTTTTTTACTAACTTCACTTTATTTATAACCGCTAAGTTGTCATTGTCGGATAAAAATAGTAATGAAAATATGAAACACTTAAAGATACAACACACAAGAAATCTCAGGTAAAAGTTAACTGCCTGATTGGGCAATGGCTTTGAATGTCAATGATTAGCACCATAGATTGGAAAGTGCTCATAAGAACAATGTAAATACTGTTTGGCGCTATCCTGACAACGGTCGCGATCCAAAGCTTTTGATAATTTTGGAGCGGTTCAGCTTTTTCCAGAATTATGACAATTTTTTTAATGCCAGTTTTTCACAATTATCACGGGTTTGAGTAAAAAACTTTGAATAATTCAACTCATAGGTGCCCGGTGGCGTAGAGGTACAGGCTCTCGTCTACCAATCTCAAGGTAGTGGGTTCGAATCCCACACCCGGCATTTCATCCGCCGACTATTTCTATTAAAATAAAAATAGTTTGGGTACCTAGGTCGACTCAGCCTTAAATGAGTACTTGGGATTCATAATCCATAACCATAGGTAATAATGGGCGGTTGAAGCGTAGTGCTAGCCACATTACCTTCCTTGTATACCAAACGGCTCTAGTATGGCAAGCTGTATCTTGCTACTTCCAAGGCATCAAACGCTATATACGGGAGAGATTATTATTATTATTATTATAATTAAATTCACAAGATAGCCATAATTACTTTGAAACTGGACGCTTTAAACACTTTTCGGTATTTTTTCAATGAGGACGGTTTAAATTTTAAAAGATTTTCTAATTTTCGAAGATTCTGATTCTGATAAGGGAAATTTTTTTCTGTTCCTGTTTGCGCTTGTTCTTAGCAACCGCCATATCGCGTTTTGTGCGATGTATTGGCGGTAAGCAGAGCATTCCAATCTTTCCAATTTATTAGCACTAAGCATCGGTTAAAATTGACAACCTATATTCAAAGTAATATGGCCCTAAGAGTTATTAAGTCTTCATAACAACATTATTTGAATACAAGTACAAATGTATTGTTGTTAAGAGAACTTAAATAAACAACATAGTTAAAATAGTCTAACTCATTAATCGTAAATTTTATTTCAGCGCCATTAAAAAATAAAGAAGAGTTTGGACCAAGTAAACGATATCCAGATCTAGGGCTTGACCTCGCCAAAATTATAATCGATTGTCGTTCCTCAGCCACCTTTGACGCCGTTTCTTTTCTCGATCGCATGGTTTAGAACATCATGCCCATAAACCATGAGGGTCTTACGCCCGTTTGTTTACGTAGTAACCTAGCAACTACCAATCGTCCCGAAACAACGATATGGTGAAATATATGACTATTTATTGCCGTCTCGTGAAATTTGGAAACAATTATTATTACCTACCCTCTGCCACATAATAATCTAAGTGCTTCTAAATTTCCATGAAAAGCCGCATAAAGAGTTGGTGTCATTCCTTGTTCATCTCTACCATTGCAATCTCTGCTGGTAGCTTCTTTGAGAATTTCCAAGACTCCATCTTTTGCAGCTCTAAAAATGTATTCATTGTAATTTTATCAAAATTACATTAAGATGAGGTGAAAACACTCAAGTCATTGTCATGACCATAATTAATGTGTAAAACAATGTATTATTTCATTTTTATATTTATCATTACTGAGATTTATGATAACAAACGTATCTATTTATTTATCCCGGAATTTTTCGACAGGTCTGTGATTATTTTCGAGTGCCGTTATAAATCAGATAAATTTATTTGAGGTCGATAAAAATATATTACGAATACCATGATACAATTGAAATTTTACGTTATCAAAGAACAGGGGATACGCTTACATGCGTCACGAAATTTATTCGAATTTTTTTCGAACGAAACAAAAAAGGGGAACAATAAAAATGATTTAAAATGAGAATGAGGACGATTTTTGTTTTCATTTCTCTCGACTCACTTATGAAATCTGTCTGTTGACATCGTACTTAACACACTTTAGCGGCAAATCCCACGGAATCCGAACTTTTTCTTATTTCTCTCCAACATAGGATACACTTTCTTCACTAAAACTGTCGCGGAAATCGAACAATACGCGATCCAACGAACACGGGGAAATCTATCGCCGACTATTTCATTAAACGAGATTAGAGATAATCGCAGTTTTATCGATACGTGTACTGAAATATCTAAAGGTTGAAAAGCGCTCAGCCGGGTCGTACCGCGGTCCTTCGAACCGCTCGCTCGTCCAAACAATTAAAACTCTTTGCCGTCGACCGTTCGCGTACCGACCCGAACGAAACAGGTGTCGGGTTATGTACGTTGTTGCCAATTGTCGCCAGGTAAAAATCTTATGTTTTATATGGTATCAGCTCAAAACAGGTCGACATGGTCCAAGTACACTTGGACCATTATCCACCATGTACACTTGGATGCTGCCATATAAATATACTGTAGATAAAGGAAACAAGTTTGGATTGGAATGCTCGGCTTGCCGCCAAAACTTATAATTGTTTGAAGCGCATACGTTGCAGGGCGCTGTTATAGCAGTTGCTAAGAACAATCGCAAACGAGTAGGCATTTCTTCTGGTATACCGGTACCAGGACCGGTACTTTTCAAATATTGCGGTATCGGTATCGTCTTTTACAAGACCAGTATACCGGTTTTTGTACCAGTACAGGAAGACCGATTTTGGTACCGGTACCGGAAGACCGGTTTAAATCGGTCCCGAAAGATCGGTTTCAATCGGTACAGAAAAATCATCATCATCATCATTTAGCTTATACCGTTCACTGCTGAACCAAAGCCTCCCTTAACTCTAGCCATTTCCTTCTATTTTGTGCCACTTGAATCCAGTTTCCAGCCACCCTCTTAATGTCATCTGTCCATCGACTAGGAGGTCGTCCTCTGCTTCTATAGGCCTCGTGTCTCGGTCTCCATTCCACAAGTCTCTTTGTCCACCGTCCATCTGTCATCCTAGCCACATGTCCTGCCCAATTCCATTTAAGATGTAAGACAGATATCACCGCATCTCTTGCTCCTGTTCGATTTCGTATTGTATGATTGGGTATTTTATCTCTGAGTGTAACTCCCAACATAGACCTTTCCATTTTCCGTTGCATGACCTGTATTCTATGTATGTTCTTTTTTGTCAAAGTAAGCGTTTCAGCTCCATACTTGAGGACAGGCAAGACACACTGGTTAAAGATCTTTCTTCTTAAACATATGGGAACATCAGATCTCAGTATATGCCTTAGTTTGCCAAATGCCGCCCACGACAAACCTATTCTTCGTAGAATTTCGTGGGTCTGATTATCCCTTCTAATACCGATCTCATGCCCTAAGTATTTATATATATGCACTTGTTCCAAAGGTATGTTATTAATGTTTAAATTTCCACTTAGTACTAGGTTTGTCATGTATTGTGTCTTTGACAAGTTAATTTTCAAACCGACTTTTTCCGAAGCATCATTCAGCATATCCAGCATATTCTGTGCCTCCTGTATGTTGTCTGTTATTAAAATAATGTCATCTGCAAAACAGAGATGATTTATCAATTTGCCATCGATGTTAATTCCTGTTGAATCCCAGTTTATCATTTTTAGCATACTTTCTAGCACAGCAACGAATAGTTTAGGGGACAGTGTGTCGCCTTGTCTTACCCCTCGATCGATATTGAATTTATCTGTGCATTGATTTGTCGATATTCTGACGTTTGCCGTGGCATTATCATATATATGTCTTATGATTGAGGAGTATCGATGATCGATGCGACTCTCACTTAGTGTCTCTAGAAGCTTCCGCTGGTCTACCGAATCGAAGGCCTTCTCGAAATCCACGAAGACAAGCATTAGTGGTCTATTATACTCAATGCATTTCTCGATAAGGACCTTGACTGTTAGAAGATGGTCATTTGTTCCGTAACCTGATCGGAAACCTGCTTGTTCGCTCGAAAGAAAAAAGTCTATTTTATTTGTCAAACGCTTGGTGAGTATTTTAGTAAATAATTTGTATACGTGGCTAAGAAGGCTGATGGGCCTATAGTTTTTAAGGTCTGTAACGTCACCTTTCTTGTGTACAATAATGATGGTTGCGTTGTTCCACTGTGATGGGGTTATTTCTTCTTCAATGCATTTATTAAATAGGACATTTAAAGCTTTGATGATTTCTGGTCCTCCTTCTTGGATTGACTCTATTACCAGTCCATCGTCGCCGGCAGCTCTATTGTTTTTCATATCTCTAAGGGCACTGATAATTTCTTCCTCGGTTATTTCTGGAATTTCTTCCGACCCCTGATTTATTACCTTTCGGATGTCGGTTCTGATCCCCTGCTGTTTGATGTGTAAAGTTCTTGATAGAAAAGTTTAATAGAGTGTAGGATTTCCTGTTTGTGTGTTACTATGTTGCCGTGCATATCCTTGATCTTTTGTATTTCTTTTCTTCCCATTGTACTATTTCTCAATATCTTCAAACTTTGATTCTTCTCTATGACTTTCCTAATTTTTTCCGTATTCTGTTGCCTCCTATGCTTTCTGGTTTCTTTGGATATCTCTCTGTTTAAAGTTCTATATTCTTGTGTACTCTTGTCCTCGTGTACTCTTGTGTACTCTTTCCCCGCTCCAGAAAAATAGATTCATGATAATACAAAAATCAAAAAACCTGTATAAAACGATTTCGGTACCGGTTTTTGTGCAAAGCTGATTGTGTTCTCCTACTCTAGGTACCGTATAATCGAAAAAAACTGCGCCAGCGGTGGCTATGAAATGAAAATCACTGTTATTTAATATGTAAAGTTATATGGGGAATGTAATCAATGTCAATGTCCATTTCCGAGCCAACTAAACGCCGTTTTTTTTCCATCATTCGGTATAATACGGTCAGGAACACGCAATGTAATTTATTTTGATGTATGTTTAAGGCATTTCTAGTTTAGTTTAGTCTAGTAATCTAGTCTTCTTTTTTTAGTACATCTAAAATTCAAGTAAAGCATCTTACTCATGGATCGCACATATATTACATAAATTAAAATGTCCGTAAAACTCAGGCTGATATTCAATAGCGTCTACTCTATTATTTAAAATTAAAAGAGAATGTTGGACAATAAATCAAGAATATGCTGGAAATGTGAACATAAACAATGATAATCCTAAGTTATATCAATAACTTTGTAACGGTAAACGGATATATTTACGATATATTCCGAGAAATTTAATTTATCCCTCAAAATACCGTATTTATTACGTTACAGTATTTATTTAACGTTACAGGCACGAAAACTTTATATTTACATTTTTTAATACGGTATCATGAGGTATATGCTGACTGGCACAACAACCAAACAAAAACTGTTTATTTCGATCTTTTCGGTATTCCGGTTCATCCGGTCCAGCCGGTATACCGGTTCAGTATCGGCCCCACCGATGTAATTGTTGGAATCGGTATACCGGTTGTAGGACCGGTACTGAAATTTTCTGGACCGAACAACCCTACAAACGAGAACGGAAATAATTTTCTCTTGTCAAAGTCAGAATCATTTACGGTCATCAAATTTTAAATATTGCTATCTTATGAGTTTAATTTAAATTTTATTTACTCAAACCCTCAGTGGCGCGGAGCCACGTAATAGAGTAAAATCACAAGAAAGAAAACCCAGTAAAGATCCAGTGGTTGTCAAAATTTAAGCAAAAAAACATTTTTTTTTGGTAATTTTGGACTTATTTGAAAACCGGTAAAAAGAAAATAGGTTTCTTATATCGAGATCTACTGGCCCAGAAAATATTTGCACTTATTTATTCACCCTGTATATTCATTATGTATATACAGCAAATAATATCACAACTTGGCAACTCTGTTATCTTAGTTCACCGAACGGTACTCTAGAATTAATTTGGTTTTGTGAACCACTATAGGATAAAAAATATCTATATCAGTAGTACCCTTGTAGTACCTATCTCTTGTTTAAATTAAATCAGACAAAACATACTAAGTATCTATAATACTATTTAGGCATGTAGTGTAGGTAATATCTACATATTATAATACAATACTAAACGCGAAATTTTTCAATCAACGTTCTTTTTAATACATTTGTGGATTATTTATAGATAGTTAACATTATTAGATACTTAAGAAATATGTAAATAAATAAAATAATACTTTAAGTTTCTTGTTTGTTCTATTATAATAGGCTGAAATTTTAAAATTCATAATGGAGTCATTAAAGTAAATATTTGATTTGAATTACAAATTATCTGAACTATCATTTTCCTACAGATATTCTAAAGCCCCATACCACATCCCATACTCACTATATAGCTTTTTTCGTTTTCCTGTTATTACCGATTCTGAACCGTCCTAGAATTGTGATGCGTATGCGCAGAAGGAAATATGAAGACATTATTTTATTGGCGCATGCGCTGCAGCGTTCTAGGACGATTCAGAATCGGTAATAACAGGAAAACGAAAAAAAAAAAATGCGTTGATGCGTCCATTCTCGCAGTCAGTGTTGTTACAATAGGTACAATTGTACTATTTTGGGTACATTTGATAGTCAAGGAGTACATAGGTACAATTGCAAGAAAAAATGTACAATTCTTACTTCTCAAACCCAAACTAACCCAAACTTAAACCCACGTACATATTTTTAGACGAACGGTGATACGCGATGCGTGGATTTGAAATGCAGGTTGCTAGGAGCAGAGGCACAGAATTATACATCAATTGAAATGCTGTTCAAGCCGCACGGATGTCAAATGTAAGTTTGATATCCATGCGGTGAGTAGGAGGGGTGCTAATCACTGCGACCTTAGAGATCTATTGTGTCCCGATGTCAAACGTGACGTCACGCAATTAGTTCCCATTTAACCAATGCTATTCAAAGCTCTTTGTAGCTTCTGTATTGCTGTCCTCCATTTGCGAATTTCAAGTTCCAGAGCTTTACGCCCTGGGCTGCTCAGAACGGTTCTGAAAGGAGCTGTGCGAGATCGCCTGGTGCCTCCATATGGCGCGGAGCCAGTTCTGAACTTTATGACTCAATTGAATGGAGGGAGAGTATCGCGTTCTTGAACAGTTCAGAGCTGCTCAACTGCGTGAAAGGAGGACAGCATATGGTGTATAATTCTGTGAGGGTGCATCCACATTGTCCTAAAAAAAGCGGATCGGCGGCGGTGTATCGGCGTAACGATTCGGCAGTGTATCGGCGTAACGTCTCTATTTACCTTTTTACCAAGTTTTGGTACGTAGGGTGCATCCACACTATCCTAAAAACAGCGGAACGGCGTATT